AGGGTTTAGGATTTAGGGTTTAATGCAGGCAGCCCATAGTGCTCTTGGGGTGAGGGCCTTTGGGGATTGTTACATGCATTCAACATTCCTGTTTTTGCTGCTGTTGCCTTTGAAGGTTGCTATTGTGATAATGTTTCCTATTCGTTCAACGTTAGAATACTCTAAACCCTAAACCCCTGAACATATTATCTTGACTATTTTTTGTACAGTGGTTTACAGGGGTCATTCGGGGTTTCTGCGAGGCCCAGGGCGGTTCCGTTTCTTACAGCCAGGATTTGATGGGTTTCAGGTAGGCTTTGGGGGTTTAGAGTTTAGGGGGGGCCTTAAGGCACGCGCTTTTTAGTCTAAGGTTTAGGTCGAGGGTTTAAGCTTGTAGTGTTCGTGCAGCGTGAGCTCAGGCATGGGGGGCAGGCCTAGCTCTAGAGCCCTGCTTCAAAAAAAGTGATTGTGGGGCTGGCGGCTGTATGTGTATAGGCTGTGGTGGCCCACTTTTGCTAGTCTACTTGGGAAGATCTCGCGAGTGTCACTCAGTGCGAAGTTAAGTACGCTCGCCTGCTTTACAGAGCTAATTTGCTCTGAATCTCTGAAGCTTCTCAGACCTCCCAAACCCTCGCCTGCTTGTCGAGTAGCAACGCTTCAGGAACGACTATTCAACACAGCCGCTGCTCGCCGTGCGGTTCTTGAATTGGTTTTTTTTTGACGAGCGGCCGTATGAGCAGAATCCTTATTGTATGACTTGCGAGCTTGTTCCGCACGTAAGTCACATGAGTCGTTCGACACCACCAGCGGATCCGCAGCTTTACACAGCTTCAAGAGCACTGCGCAGACAAGGATTCAGAGAAGTAGCCGTTCCGATAATATAGAAGCCTAAATAGTTACCAATATTATTCCAGAGGGTTCCTTCTTATAAGAATACTGTAGACTATAAAGGGGCCCAAGGCGCAAGACCCTATTCTAATTATTAAGGCCCCTACACCCTAAACCCTCAGAGTCGCCCTTATAGAACCCTTAAAAGGAACCCTTAATAAAGAAAGCCAATTCTAATTCCTAAGGCCCCTAAACCTTAAACCATTATGGTAGCCCTTATAGAACCCTGTAAAGGAACCCTAAAACTCTATTATAATTATGAAGGTCCCTACATTATAGAGCCTTGTTATCGACCCCTTATAGAACCCTTTAAAGAACCTTTAAAGGAACCCCCAGAACCCTATTCTAATTATTAAGGCCTCAAAAATTAGAATAGGTGTGCTTTTGGACCCACTATACTAGAATTATAATAAGGAACCCCCAAAATAGTTTCGGTAATTATTTAGGCCCCTACATATATAGCACATTGCACAGGACTGGTCGAGCAGCTTCACGGTGTCCGGCAACGCAGGACGCTCACCCCAAGTCCCGAGAGACTTCAATATCCCTTAATTAAAGGTTGGGGTTTAGGGTTTAGGGTTGGGGTTTAGTCTGGGACATTTTCAGGTGGGTAGTTACCGTTATAGGAGCCTTATAGAAGGTCTATATACCTCATGGAAGCCTTATAGAAGCTCTATATACCTAAACTCCCCACCTGTAGTTTCTTTCAACCAAGTCTCGCTTTAGTGTCTTAGCGTTGAGGTTTGCACCTTCCGGGAGCTCATGATTCACAGAGCCATTGCTGTAAGCATACCTCGATTGGGCGTTGACTAGGCTTGCTCCAGATTCAAGATTTTAACCCAGCATTTGGCATCCCAAGCCGCCCATTCTAGCTAGAGGCCCATTCCGCGACCCTTCACCCAGTCTCTGCACAGCGCATTTGCGGCCAAAGCCCCAGTGTCCTCGCATGCTGAGTAACTGACAAAACTGATCGGTTTGGGGTCGTAGCAGTAGCAGTGGCAGTGGCAATTGCAGTCTGTGCCCTAGTCGCATCAGCGGCAGTCGTTGGTAGCCCAGTAGCAGCAGTAGCAGCTGTTGTTGCTGTAGTAAACGTAGTCGCAATGGTGGTCGTAGTGGCAGCGGACGTAGCAAGTGCGGTAGTAGTAATAGTAGTCGTCGTCGTATTAGTAGTAATGCTACTACTACTACTACTACT